GGTTTGACTGTGTATGAAGCCTGCATAGCAGGCGTTTCCAAAAAATGGTGCGATTTATGCAAAGTTACCAATCGTTGAGCAGAGGTTCTCAAACTCATTAACAATTTATCAAGTTAAAACAAAGAAAATCACAACCGTTAAGGAGGTTTGGATACCCGGTCTTAATCAGCATAGAACTTGACGATTTTACTTCTCTGTTTACTCCTTAGTTTTTGTTTCGGTTGGGAAGAAATATCAAACACTCGACACAGTGTTTCATCGGGTATCAAACACCTCGAATTTCGTCAAAAATACTCCGCTGCGTGTCGTATTTTCAACTCTCTTCACGGTGTTTTGATATCCCGATGAAACACTCTCACTCGTGTCTTGATACATTACGTAACAAAATTGACATCATAACTTCATAAAATTTATCAAAACTTTGTTGAGAACATATTTGCCATTTATTAATTTGTAAAGGCTTGCGCAATTTTGAGAGGATTTTCAAATATTCCAAGTAGTGTAAATCGGTAATTGTCCGAGCTTTGATACTATTGTTTGCTTATTTTATGACTGAGAAAATTACAAACTCACCTGTATTAATTTGCTCTGTAAATTAAGAATTAGCGGCAAATTAGGCTGCCCTCAGCCAATCACAATGAAGTAAATTTCTCAGTCATATAGTAAAGTTGTTTCTTTATTTAATTTATTTGCTTATTTATCTATTCATGTATTTGTTACTATTTTTGTAAACCTCCTTTTAATAGAATTTCAGCTGATATAGGGAGTAGGAAGTATTTTCACGGCAGCCATAACTGCCAATTAAAAATTCTTTTGTACACTCCAACCTCTATTAAGCACCCCCCCTATTAAGCGGCCAACCTTTATTTGGCGGTCAGCGGTTAAAGTCCTGGAAAACTTGTCAGCTATACACTGAAATAAAAACCTCTTTTCAACGACCACCTCTATTACGTGGCCGCAGCCAGCTTCTTACCGTCTTAGGGGTGATTTTGTTTTGTTTTGTTTTATACCTCTATTAAACGGCCAGGAAGATTTGAAGTTGGACGTTTTTTAGCCAGATGAGGTAGAAGAATGATAATGTGGAATACTGGAATACAGCCGTATTTACTAAAAACAAGCGCCAGACAAAGTCTCGAAGCGTTTTAGTTTGTTTGTACAGCACACAAGCTCGTGTTGAGTTGACATACACGTGACGTCTGTACCAGTGTTTCAGCCAGAAAATTTTACTTGAGGGCCA